TTTGGACTTTGTGTTCACTGTTAAATAAAGAAAAGTGCATTTTTCCAGTGTGTGTAGAGTTATGTGTGAGGTTCGCAAATTATGACAATAAACATATTTTTATAACAGTTGTTTTTGAGACTTTTTTTTTTTTTTAATGTGGGTCAAATATGGCTCATGAAAGATGTGGCTTAGTTGAGGTTGAATTAAGGCTGATATCAGGAACCTGTTCTGGCCCGGCGTCGGGCCGGAGTAGGGCCGGATATGGTTATACAATGCGGCTCAGATCCGGGCCGAATGCGGCCCGGATCATGGATGCCGGACCCGGGCCACTGCAGGACCGTCATTCATTGCGGTATGTGGGCCGAGTGTCGTGCCGTGTCCGCGCCAGAGCCGGGCCAGACCAATTTTGCTGACTGGGTAAAGTTCACTGTAACCTTAACTTGCCAAAGCAAAATGCAAAGAAAAAAAAATCGACTAACAGCACACAATTGAACACCTTCACCCCACTAGTAAATGAACAAAGTCATCCCTGAAAGCATTTTGTCTAAATATAATCTTCATATGTACATTTGTTGCCCCCTTTTCCCCTCCCTCAATTTTCTGTGTTTGATCCAAGGATTCAAAAGCAGAATTTCCATCTTAACATTAATTATTTATTAGGATAAACCAAAACCAATTTGTTGTGAAACATAACGTTATACCCTACCGAGATATAGAATTTGTCATCAGTTGGCGAAAAGAGGTCAGCGCCCAAAGTTTCCCAGTCGCCATGGCTCCCATCAAACACTTCCATTTTACCGATTTCCATGGTGGTACCACATCCTGGGGACAGACAAGGCAAATTCAGACAACTATCAATGTGACTGCAACAACTATTACAAATGACCCCCCCCCCCAAGTGAAATTTCACCGCCACTGAGCACAACGATAACTCCCAATTATCAATTTAAAAGATTCATCTTTTTTGGGCAACATTCCGAAAATCTGATCAATTTATGAGACTTTAAGAATGTTGACCTCTACCTTCACCTCATGTCGCATCTCAAATGAGATGGAATTAAATCGTTTCAATGAGGAGCAGGGCTTACCTTCAGTGGACCAGGTTTGGAGAACCACGGGACATTCGTCCTCAGCAAAAGGGTAGTTGAAGAGGTTAAATTCACAGTTGACCTCGGCCGCCATCACCACCCTGTGTCGCAAGGTGCCATTGCTGAACACTATCAGGTCACGGAAGCTGTTCTGCGTGCTCGCTGATATGCTGAAGTTGAGAGTGAAAAAAAAAAAAGAGGAAAATGAAAAAGATAAAGGCCAAAGTCATGGCTGCACATCAGCGCTTCTTACCCATTGGTCACAAATATATCCGGGGTCCAGACTTTGTTTACGGGCAGAATGACCTCATCGTACGGGTAAACGGATTGGTCCCAGTACAAGTCATCATCGGTCCATTCCTGCGGTTGTAATCCAAGTTAATGACGAGGGTGATACACTTGCCTTGCGAGTGATTGATTCGAACGAACATCTCATTGCTTACAATTGTGGCCCGTAAACGACACCCTAAACGAAGATTCTTTGTGTCCTGAAATACAACAGCATACACTTAAATGTACGGAAAACACAACTTGTGTGTATGTGGAATTTTGGTACTTACAACTTTAATGGTTTCATACTCAATGGAGGATACATAGATGTACTCGGAGCAGTTGTCACGCTGCGGCTGAGTTATTAACTTTTTGTCGACGAGCTTGTTCGCCAGACATCTGCGGGTCGTGCAGTCGTCCGTAGTATTTCCGTCTCCTGAAGAACCAGAGTGGTGCAACTTTTACAGAAATACAGGTCAGAATCACCGTTTAGAAATCTCTTGTGACACCTAACAGATGCAAAACAAAAAAACACCATAGGAAGAAATGTGTGGATATCTTTTGCCAAGCACCTGCTAATGTGGACTTCAGTTGATTTTTTTTTTTTTTTCCGGGACATTGTCGCTAGTGTCGGGTGGAATCCTCACAAATCCTTTCCAAAATCACCACTTTTCAGGAAAACCCCCAAAACGTCATTGCCAAAAAGAGAACATGTTCAAACTTTAGATTGGTCAATAATTTGAGAAAATAACAAACGTAGGAGATCTCCAATAGTACAGATTCGTGAAAAAATATAACATTGGTGAAATTTGGACATAAAAGGTTTCGGCCCAAAGCAGTTTGGTTCTTGACTTGCTCAATGTCTGAAGTGGATTTGGATAACGTCTGTGAATTGGCACAAAAAAACACCTCAAAATCCATCCATCCATCAATTTTCTGATCCGCTTTATCCTCACAAGGGTCTATACCAGCCATTTTCGGGCAGTAAGCGGGGGACACCCTGAACTGGTTGCCAGCCAATTTACAGAGCACACACAGACGAACAACCATCCGCGCTCACACTCACACCTAGGGACAATTTTGAGTGTTCCATTAACTCTGCCATTCATGTTTTTGGAATGTGGGAGGAAACCGGAGTACCCGGAGAAAACCCACACAGGCACAGGGAGAACATGTAAACTCCACACAGGAAGGCTGGAGCCGGAATCGAATCCATGACCTCTGCACTGTGAGGTCGACGCGCTAACCACTGTCCCACCGGGCCGCCAAATCCATTTATTTATAATTTATATAGTCGACTCGGACTGCCTGTTTAGAAGTTAGAACTCCAATTTCGATTGACATTCCCGTGGACCAAGCCGGAAAATTCTCCTGACTTTTTCAACCGTTAACTCCATCTTTCATCTTGCAGTAAAACATCACAGTGGCGCCCTGACTTGTGTTTAATTCAGTTCCTTCCGAGGCCATACGAACACAAAAGTGGCATCTGGTCTCTCAGGAATCACACAATAATTTGCGTTGTAAACTAAAAAAAACTCTGTTGCAGTTCCCGCTTACCTACAACAAGTAGAGCCCATAGAAGCGCTGCCCTCCACACACTCAAGTCAGGTTGCGTTTGTGACAGCATCGCTATAGAAGCCAGATTTGACGACATTCAACATACAACTGACGAGTTGTCTTCTTAGCTTTCCGGACTCTTAAATAGGCCCCGGGGCTGACGTTGCAGCAATGTACCGGCACATGACAATTGCACCGAGCCACAATAGGCGCAAAAATTGCTGCATGATTAAACTGTTCAAACAACAACGCGGCTCAATTACTCTCATCATCAATGTGCCAGCTGTTATTTGTCTTTCTGCTCGACAATGCCATCCACACTTGAGTTTACCGAACTAAGCTCCTGTCACGAAGGCCTGACAAAGACTTTGCGGTCACTGTCAGGTTTTTTTTTTTTTTTTGGGTTGTTTTTTTTCTTCATGGTTTTGGAAAGCGAGGCAATTCTCAGACGTGTTTTGATAACTGAAAGCGCGACGCTTGCGTGCCATTTTACTCGTGTTGACTTTGACAAACTAGCTCGTTAAATCATCACATTATACAAACAGCCTTTCCGTTTACGTTCATTCGCATGAGATACCCAATTATTTCCTGTCCGGATTCTCATCTAAGATTTTTTTTTTTTTTTGATAGTCTCATTTGACTCTTAAAAATAAATGCCCAACAGCAGGCTAAATTTACCCACATACTGTACCGGTACATGGATCAAGTCTCTGAGTAGAGGTGTGTATTTCAATAATACTTTCATGACATCAATTACTACTTTCTTATGAGCCTGTTCATAATCATGCTATATATATATATATATATATATATATATAT